TCCCGAAAAGAGGCCTTTGGTGAGCTGCAGTAGTTCAAAATGTTCCAGGCTCCCAAATAATAAAAGCCTCCTTTTCTTTCATATTCTTTCTTGCAAAATCGAGACAACGTTCATTCCTATACCATACCTTTTTATACTATACAAAACTTTACTATTGTATACTATACTATTCTATACTGTACTTAAAAAAAAACCGATATTTTTTGTTGTATTTAGGATGTACTAGCTAAGCGGTACATCACCCGTTCATAAGCGCTTTTGTAAATGGAAAACCATCTGCTATAACTAACTTTTACTTCTATTATTCAGAACTTTAACTTATGTGTAGCTGTGTCCTAGCTTTGGAATCGTTTTGCAGCTGTTGCTCAGCTTGTTGTTATGATTAATCATAACAATTAATAATTAATATAATTAATATAATTAATAATTAACATAATAAATAATCGTTGTTATGATTTCTTTATCAAGCACTCAATACTGTTCTGTTGATATCCCATTGTTTTTAAATGAGCCATATTTCATCGAAGATCCTGGGGTTGCTTGTTTCTTTCCAAAGGTCAACAGGTTTTGTGAGAAAAAAATGACCAGTTACCACTCCGATACTATACTATACAGTACTTTAAAGAATGTATAGTAATTTTACTTATATCGTCATTAACACTCCTATAAGATATCATATTCTCGAGTTTGGAAGCGATAAAAAGACCTGTTTTCTTTGCAATTAAGATGCAATGGCTATGCTGTAAATCACCCATTCATGAGGGCTTTTGGAAGCCGAGGAAGACAACGTGGTTTGACTAGCTTTTAGTTCCTTTACTTAGTGCTTTTACTTACCCATGGTTATGTTTTAGCTTTAGCGGAATCTTCCTCCAGCTGTTGCTGAGCTTGCTTTAATGACTAACTCTTTATCAAGCACTTAAGTCCTATTCTTTTTATATCCCGTGTTTCAAAATGAGCCATATTTCACTGGTAATACTGGAGTTGCTTGTGTCCTTCCAAAGGTCAGCTGGTGTCTTGGAAAACAAAGTCTCGTGAAAAGAAAATAACTGAAAAACTGTTTAGGCAACGTTTTACTTCCGTTTAATATTCTGCAGTAAAAATCTTAAGTACACTGGTTATACAATTTAGTTGTATTAAGTAATCAATTTATTAATTCACCAATTTAATCATTCATTCATATCCTTTTTATTTTTTTAAGAATTTAATAAAAAATTTTAAATCACTTTTATTATTTACTAAGATATATCTTATATCTTTATTTCATCTTTTATTGATCATTTTTTTCGTTTATACCAAACTAGGAGCTTTACTCTTATTAAGCTATCATTTAGAAATATCCCTTTATTCTGGTATACGTAGACACTCCATTGTGTTGGAGCAAAAAAGCAAAAATTGGACCAGACCTGAATCTGCACTTTTCTGAATTCCACCTGACTAAATTGGACGGGATCGCAATGCACTACTTTCAAGTTAATTTGACTGAGCTGGACTGCATTGCACGTTTCTAAATGAAACTGAATTAGACTGTGCTTAACTGAACGTAGATGTACTCAACAGGATTACACGACATAGGAGAGCTTTGCACAGCACTGGCGTTAACTTGGATGCACTGCACTTGATTGGTTAAACTGTGTTGTAGTAGATGGCACTTCACTTGACTAAGCTTGACTTCAATACTAAAGACTGCTTAAAAGACTATTAATACATTGAGGTTTGCCAAAAGATCAACTAACTGCTAGTGTTAGTTGCATTAATTTAGAGGAATTTTAGGAATACAACAATTTCTTGAAATAATAGAAATATCACCTCGTGAGTTGTTAAATGTTGTCATAAAAATATTGAATCGGTCAGGAAGACTACTCACAAATTCTGTAAACATAAAGGTGCAGATAATCCAAACCCAAGAGTACTTCTAACAAATGAATACCAGTTATCTGTCACTTAAGTCTGACAAAATTTGTTGCAATCAAAACATTCCGGCCTTACCTCCTTCAGATAACTTGTAGTGCTGATGGACAATACCTTTTTGTCTCTAACTGCTCAATGTGACGCGTGAGGGTTTTTCTATCAGCAAAAAAACCCATCTTTTAAGATTGGTATCACAAAATTATGATAGTTAATCACTTACCTACTCAGTAATGTACAGCTCTGAAAATGGGCTCATTGTGAGCTGCAGTGGGTCTTGTAAGAAAAAAACATACCTGGCAAACTGTTTGGATAACGTTGTATTAGTTTAATATTCTGCTGTGAAAATCATAAATACATTGGTCATACAAATAAATTGCATTTATCAATGTATTAATTCAACAATTTATTTATCTTCCTATTTATCTATGATATCTTTATTTTATATGAATTTAATCACTTGAATTAGTTATAGAGATATACTTTTATATCTTAATTTCATCTATTATTGATCAATTATCTTTGCTTAATTTAGCCTAAGGTTTACTCTTCTTAAGCTTTCATTTAGAAATAGCTATCTGCGACAATGTCACGTAGAAGCTCTATAATGTGTTCGTGTGACTGAAGATTGGACCGCACTTGAATGTCCGCTTTTCTGATTGGCCTTTCTCAAGACTGGACGGGACTGCACAGCAAGAGGTTGAAGTTAACTTGACTGAGCCAGACTGCATTACACGTTTCCAAATGAAACTTAATTAGACTGTACTTAACTGCACGTAGATGTACTCGACTT